GGTAATATCGCAGAAGCAGTCCGCTCAAATGCGTAATTAAAACGGAATGCAATAATAAATGTATGAAATACTTCAAGTTCAAATATTGTACAGCAATATTGCCATTGATTAAAAATAAAATTTCTATCGTAAGAGCCTTTTAGTATGAACAAGATATGTGAGGAAATTGCATATAGTTTTCAATGTTGTTGGTGCAAGAAGAATTCGTTTTTAATTAACTACGGACTAAAGTTTGCGTAAAGTTTTGTTTGTAGCTAGCAAATATTAGATTCGGGGAAAAATATAACAAGTTAAAGGAAGCAATCAATCACCTGTAAGTTTGTTAGTGCTGTACTGAAGCGAAGATTTTTTATTTGCTAATAAAACAGTTATATTAACTTCTTAGAAGCAAATTATATTTGTAAGCTTGCGGAAATTTCAAGAAAACATTCACAGCTATTATATTACTTACAAATTTCTTTACACTTTATATTTATTTTCTGATGTCTTAAGGGTTTATGTTAGTCTTAAATTAAAAAAGAATTAAAATTTCTTAAGCTGAAAGAGCTCTTTAGGGTTTAATTAGTGTTAAGTTGAGTTCAGCTGGCCGGTTGTCAAGAATAGACCTGCTGGTGCTCAGTAATGCCGTCCGTCAGCCCTTATCGTTTCGTTTTTTTCCTATCAGCTATTTCGTTTCCCGGAATGCCTGTATGGCCTGAAAGCCAGTATATATGCGGCCGCCTTCCATCTACTGTCTCCTTGCTGCTGAGATTATTTTCTGCTGAATGCGATGTGAGATTATTGTTTAAATTGCCGCTTGGCTATCGATTGTTGACTATCTCCGCCGCTTTCCTTACCACAAAGACTTTCGTCTGGAAGATAATGCAGTATCCTGGAAATTTGAAGGGTCTGCTAAGATTCAGCTCCAAAAAATAGATGCCAGGAGTGGTTGTCCATTTTTGATCCGTTTCTTTAGATGTTGTAAGTTCCATTGGCGAGTCGAGTGCTCCTGCGCTATCCACCCTCTTCTAGTGTGACTTGAAACCTTCTGTCCCAAATAAAGATTGGGGATATATGTATTTCGTTATTCAGAGAACAGCAAGCCGCCGTATCCGCTCCAACAGCTCTTTGTATTAAATTTTGCTGACAATGTTTCACTACATCTAAGCACGGTTAAGCAATATTGGCTTGACTACCGCTATGAAACACCAATGCATGAGCGGATAAGCCCCATGTAGGCTTTTGTATTGTCTTACATGCATAGAGGGTACCACTAGACTTTTTCACTGTCTGCACCACAATGAGTTTCCACATCAGTTTGCTATCCAAAACTACACCCAGCTACTTGGTATACTCCTTAATTGTTAACTCAACCTCGTTGAGCCTCAACCATTTCCATATCCCAACCATGTCGGGGTTTTGTACCTCCTTCTAAGGAGCAATTGGTGGAATAGTGTTGTAGTTCAAAGTATTAATGTAAAACGCAAAGCATACGTTCTCTACTAGCAAGTCCTACGTAGGAAAAGAACTTGTTTTCAGAAGTTTCTAAAATCTACGCCGCACGACGAGGACCTCTTCAGAGAGGTGATTCCAAAGATGGGCCCTGCAGCCGCCATTTGGTATCAAAATATGAATATAGACAAATTCTATACACTCAAATACATGTACTCGTATAATAAAGCGTGGAAAACAGATATCCAATTCATTCCGTCTGACAGTCAGAATAAAGTTAAGTTATTATTTTTGAGAGTTTTAGATTAACCAACCCCTTGATACTGATTAGAATTTGCTTTTCATTGCATTTACATAAATTTTTGTAGGAATCCAATCAAATCCTCTATTCGCTTAAGAAACTCTAAGCTCTTTAAAACCAGCAGGACTTTATGAAAAAGTTTCCAAAGCTGCACACACAAGCGTAAACACATTTTGAGTAAAGACACTCAGCTGTTCACCATCACAGTGCCTACTATGTCAGATTCGCATTTCCGAAACACATATCATAAAGGATATTTTCGGCAATAAATTTGCGAAACACGAAACTTTAACCAAACAATAAATGCGTTAGAGCGCCTTTGCTTATGCTACGCAATTGTATGTTGTTAGGTATGAGTGTATAACGTTGTAACGTTGCCTGAGACATCTAAGTGGGTATACTTGAGATACCGCTACTTGTTCCACTTATGGCGAAAATGCCCCATTTACGAAACACTCAAACGTGTTGAGATGTGTACGGCTGTTGTGAAGGTGATGGTGATGGGGTGGCTCTACATAACTGCAAATGCATAACAGTAGTAAGCATGCCGAAGATTTCTACAAGCACTCACTATCGGACTAAAGTATCCGTACAATTGCCTCAACATATCGTCACTTGCGGGATTATATGGAAATGTGCGTACAAGTGCACCTGTACTAAAACACCAAATGAATGCTAACGTGTCGTAGTATATGTTATTCAGCATACCATACCCGCAATTCCCCACCCGCGCCTGCGTCCACATAATGTAATTTCAACGTTACGAATAGCTTGTGTATGCGTGTGTGCGCAAGAAGGCACAGCCAGCGGGTATAAAATGAAATTTATGTGCACAGTTGGAAGGCGTTCTCTCTTCATCGTGCAACGGACGTCGAGCTTTGGAATTTCAACGGCGGCAGGAAGCTAGTGGGAAGCAATAATAATAAAAATATAGTAAGGAAAACAATTGTAGCTGCGGTGTGGTAAATGTGTGTGTGTGTGTGTGTGGAGGTACGTTTGTTTGTGTTGCAAACAATAGGGAGAATTTAATAGACCGTGGAAAGCATAGTGAATAAAAAAAAAGTATTGAGCGAAAAATTTCGCTGCAGCAGCACTAAAAGGGTGAGCTAACCAATGCTGCTGTCAATAGTCGCTAACAGGACATTAGTGATGTGCACAACCACATTCTATGCAGCCTTCGGCAATAAAACAGGATAAACACATACATATATACTCAGTTGTGGGCAATTCCTGGGCTGCTTAGTCTTGCAATTCCGTGTTTTACATTGTAGCAACATGAAATTGTGGGTGTGCTCGCATTATGGGAGTTAGGAATCAATAAACATTCTAAATGATTGTTGTAATGTGATTAGTAGACAAGCACTGAAATACCACAAATTCTGGAATTATTGCCATACAACTATTCAGACCAAGAAGCAAAATAAAGGAGCGGCAATTTTATGGTACCCGATTGCTTAAACGCATACACCACCATATGTTACCCAAGCCTCATATATCGACTTCATTCCTCCTTTATATCATACTATGCATCTAAACAAATTTGACCCGGATTGACAAAAAAAAAAAACATTTTACGAATTTTAATGCAAGTCTGTATTATCGCCTTCAAAATAGACTATGTTTGAGCTCATACATTAATATGATTTTTCATACACCTGTTATAAGATCGGCTGGTAGGACCCTTATTGCCTTTAGCGAAAGACTTTTAATGGCTTCAATTGACTCATGACCCGTTCCCCGAAGCGAATATTACAGTTTCGAAACAGAAAAAATTAACATTAACCTAAATCTAGTAAATACGACGGCTGAGCTATGATTCACATTGTATTTGCCCAAAAAGTCAGTCAAAATCATGTGATTTTGCATTACCGTAGTGAAGAATCACTAAATTTTCAGCCCGCAAATCCTGTCGTTTACGATGAATCTCTACACGTTGAGGCCTCAAAACGTCAAAGTATTATTACTTATTGTCCGTTCGACTCTGTGGATCGAATTTACGGTGAACCATGCTACACTAATCAAAGAAAATGAGCATTACCAGGACTTTGGATTGACTTTAAGAGGGCGATACATGTAATATAAAAAATAAACCGTTTTTTGTTTTTTTTTATAAATAGTTAGTTTAACATCTTGAAATTATACCTGCAAATTTCTAGAACGAAATTCGCATTATTTATTAAGAAAAAATGCAATTAATTGTTCCATCTCCCGCCAATTGATGCCATTTGTCGCGAGAGCCTCAAGAGATCGATTGCCACGGCGGCCATTTTGAAAAAAAAAAATTTAAAACCGGATTTTCATATTTTAATATGTACTTAATAAACATGCCGAGTTTCATAATTATTTATTAATTTTTTCCATTTCAAATAAGCCTCCAAAAATTGGTCTAAATTCAGGCGTTTACATGTATCGCTCCCCTTAAAGTGGTTTTTTCGATTTCGGCTTATTTTTGAACCCCATTCGCTATATATGTTGTAAAGCATCTCTTTTCTGACCTTTGCTGGAAAAAGATTATGCAAAAGATTCCGGTCTTTTGGTATGAGTTTAGCATTGACACGCTTTATACCCAAAACATTAACCAAAATGTGTTGAGTCGATCCATGAGAGATGTTGAAATCCTCTGCTATCTCTTTGAGGCCAATAAGACGAATTGCAAGCACTGTTTCTTAAAATTGTTTTATGTTATCGTCATGTTATCGTCATTAACAGAGGTGGATGCACTCACATGAAGAAAGTTTTCCATGACTTCACAACCTTCACTGAATGCTTTGTGCCATTCAACTACTTACATTCGTTGTAAAGTTTGATGGTCTACTTTAGCTGCAATATTTTTAACGAATCCGTAGCCGAGTCTTCATTTTTAAACACCAAATTTTCATCGTTGTTCAATTGTTTTCCATGCTAAAAGTCGCCAGACAAACTGTGCGCATCCTATACAAACAGCTGCCAGACACACACTAATCGCCGTATGTAGATCACACGAACTTACGAGAAGTTATGTCGTATCAATCTAAGAAAATTTGTTTTTATATCATTTCGGTATACGCGTTCAGTTTAAATGGACGAAACTTTGGAAACAATATTTGGCTAACAAGTATTATATGAACTTTTTCACATATCGCATATTAAATTGGTAACCTTATCCATAACACACATTCAATACCCAGCATATAGTGCGACATATTTATCTAAAAGAATGTGTTAACAACTCTTAAACATTTATTTAAAAATATCATTTTATGTTTTGTGCTTTTTGTGTAGTACTCACAGACTGGTGTGCGTGATGTGATGCTGATTGAAATGCAGTAAAGTGTCATTGATTTCCACGATTAAAATATCGCCCGACTGTATTTCGGCTTCACCTTCCCAGGAGACTAATAATGGCGAACAGTCTGTACCGCCGTATGGGCAATTCTCGGAGGTCTGTAATTGACAATGTTGTAAAAGTAATTAATTAAAGCAAAGTAAAAATCAAAAAATATTTTTCTATTAATTTTAAACTATTTTACAAATTTTAGGGCTACACTAAAATTAATTTTCTTTTAAAAAAAATTTTTTTTTTGATTTTCTAATATTGAACATATTTCAATTATATTGAGAATATTATTCATACTTGTATAAATTTGTATATAACTGTACCTTATAAATACCAACACGTGCTTGTGTACACAGAGCTGCAAATTAGTTTTAATGTTATTGTCAAAGTTTGCATGCGATTTCCGGAAGCCACTAACACAATTACATACTGTAGCTACTCTTCTGTGGGCATGTGCCGCTACATATGCAACTACATGAATGGCAAAATAAGGAAAAAGTTACAGATATCAACAGCAATATCTGCCTTGTGTGACCTACAACCACAACAAAAATATGCCTTTCATTTGTCGCATAACGGCGTTGCCCACGAATTTTATTGTGTCAACGCAAACTTAATATGCGAAAATTTGAACCCAACCAACTCAATATGTCGCTCATATGTAAATGGATTAAGTCGATATGCGTCCTTTTTCACACAAAAATAACATGTGCATATTTATTGATGGGCGTGCTAAAGACCTCATTTCCTCGCACATGCACGTACATATGAATATTTATGCGTGCGCCTTAGGTATATGCATTTGGACTTAGTTGCGTATTTTTTGTGCTTTAAGTTCTTTCTGTGTTCTTTTTTTATTGAGCAATATTATGTCCTAAAAATTTGCATATCTTAGCAAAAGGTCAACGGGCTTTCGCTTTAACATTCGAGCTGGCCAAACAGGCGAAATCTGAATTTGTCCTTTTGCGGTTGAGGGGTGTGAGTTGTAGTGCGTACTGGGTTATAACCACAAAATTTATTACATTAGCATATGCGGGTGTATATCCTCTTTTTGCAATTTTTTCCCTTTGCGAGATTTCCTTAATTTGTTTTTGGCGGCCGTTGTTCAGTGCCGGATAAACGCAGCCATGCTCATCCTTGCAATATTTATAAGATTTTAATTTTTGTTTACTCGCAATAAAAGTGTATATATATTAAACGGTTTTAGCTGTATTTTGGGATTTTAAAACGGTCGAAAAGCTTGCGGTTGCAAAGTATTCTGATTCGGAAAATTAAATATTTAAACTACTTATGTGAATACTTTTTCATGCGTTTATAGTATACATTTTAATAAGCAATTTTAATTAATATTTTCAGTTTTACACACATTATATGGCAACTCTTTCCGGGGAAATTGTTTTGTGTAAGTTTGCGTAGACTTAGGAGCCGGACCTATTTGGCCTGGACGTTGGAAATTGGATTATTGTGAAGCATTTTTGCACCGGATCACACCATGCCGAAACAATCCGACCCAATTTTAATCATACAACATCTCATTTAGGTATCGAAATTGGATTCAAGATTAAATCTAAGGACGCTGTAAGCCGATTGCTAACAGCTGCCTCCTATTTTGCTAAATTTTATTTTAAGAGGCCGATATGTGGCACAAGAGGAAATCTTAGTATAAATGTGGCCCCCGGTTTAGACCGATTGCGCTCATTTTTGTGAAAGAGTTTCCACATATCAAGATCACCATATTTGCTAAATTATGATGCGCTAATTTTTCTTATGCTGGTTCTTGAACAGATTATATACAAAACGACGATATATAGATATATTTAGTTGCGGTTGTGCTTTGATCTCTCTTGTTTCTGCGGTGCACTGAGAGGTCCAAATCGGTTAAGCATTGATATTTATACAGCCACTCTATGCCAGTTATCACATACTTAGTATTTATGAACCAAAGGTTTATATGGAAGACGGGCATGTTTACGAACATATATTAAAAATTGTCCGGAAAAAACGTGTTTCAAAACATTATTTTCAGATTTTGATTTATATTACATGTATTTAATTTGAGAATGCAAACACATAGGTATATTTTTTTAAAGGGATTTAGACCTTTTGTTCAAAAATTTCGGTTAATTTTTTATTATACGCTGAACAGGGCATATACAGTTTGCCAAGAAGGTCAAAAACCCTCGGAGGAAACGTCTGAGATCCCGTAAAATATTTATATATATATAATATATAAATGATCAGCATGACGAGCTGCGTCGGTTTAGCAATGTCCGTCAGTCTGTCGGTATATATGCGAACTGGTCCCTCAGTTTTGGAAATATCGATTTGAAATTCTGCACGCGTTCATTTCTCTTCAAGAAACTGCTCATTTGTCGAAAATGCCGATATCGGACCACTATAGCATATAGCTGCCATGTAAACTGAACGATCGAAATCATGTCCTTGTATGGAATTTTTTTTTATTTAACGAGATATAAATTACGTAAAGATTTAGAATAAATTATTAACCAATGCAATAGCAAATCTCCCCAGAAATCATGCAGATGGGACCACGATATCGGTGGAAACTAAAGTACCGTTTTTTCTTATTTTGTTTTCGGTCGGTAAAATAGTAGTGATTATTATGATGAATTATGATTTTATGTCTGATTTCCAAGTTTTCTTTGTTTTTTTTTTTTAACACATTACATAAGCTTTTTCTGCATTTTTTGTACTTCTCTGTCTCATTAAGCTTTTGTACTCCTTTCGCAAAACTTTGCAGCTTAAATAAGTTATTGCAAAGGGTTGGTAATTTGGTCTTTATTTAAATACAAAAGCAATATCACTTGCTGAAAGTTACTGGAGTACAGGCAAAACTTTTTCGCATTTACACCGCCCAGCAGAACCTTTTCCCTTTCATTGTGAACCAACGCAGTTACCGTTTGTTGTTCAATTACTATGCTGTTTTCGTGTATATCGTCTGCGCACGCATGGCGTATTTCTTAAAATACTCTCCATTTCATTTCCTCTACTTATTCGTAGTCTATTTGATTTTTTACAACCTTTTCAAATCATGCTATTTTCTTTTTTTTTCTACTTTTTCTATTTCCTTTTCTGTTGGCAATTTGTTTTTCTGCGTGCAAATTTACAAATCACAAAAGTATGGAAATTTCACTGTAATAGAAAATAAACTGACCGGAAATTTTTTACATATTTGTGTGTGTGCGTACTGTAACTTCTTTTCAATGATGTTGCTGTTGTTGCAAGCATACCCTTCAGCATCATACAGTTTTCATAGAATTTTCAGTTAAAGTATAGAGTACATTTGCATATTCCTCTGCCCTGCTGGCGAGTTCGTATATTCTCTGTGTGTGCTTATCAACATAACGGTGCCTGCTTGAGAGGCGTGTGTGCGTGTGCATATGACTTTGTGTTTAAGTGGCGTCTGGCTTGTATGGGTTTCAAGTGCGTCTATGTATGTATGTAATTTGATCCGCTGGGCAAGTGTATGCTCAGAGTACGAAGGATTTAATATTCCCAGCAATATCTACCGTATAATGCCACTACTTATTGGAGGTGCGTGTACACACACACACACAAACTCATTGCCATACTATATACTTGTAGTATCCAATGTTCACACTTGAGCTGGCTCTTTATGGAAAGTATGCAAAATGAGCTATGGTTCGGCTTAAATCGGCGGTGGTGTGGTTATAATTGTTCTATGGATCTATTGGAAAGAATGTACCATTTACATATGTTGGTATACCAACAAAAATATGAGCACCGCTGCAGAGTTCGTTTGCGAAGTTAAAATTTAATTACTTTTTTCTTTTAAGATTTACTTTCATTTTGTATTATTTAGAATCAAATTGGAGATTAAAACTTTTGAAGTATATTTAATAACTTACCAAGAACAAATGCTACAATAATCGTCGCAGATGCATTTCTTATAGCATAAAATTAAATTAAAAAAAAAATAAAATATCTTCGGGTATACCGAAGCTATAATACCCTTCAGAGATGCATTTCTTATAGCCTAAAAGGGTATCAAAATATTTTTGATCGGTCAGTTTGTATGGCAGTTATAAGCAATACTAGTCCGATTTTAACAATTTGTTCGAATATTGCAGCTTTACCTTTGGTAATAAACTGTGCCAAAATTTGTAAAGATATCTTGTCAAATACCTAAGATTTCTATGCAAAAACTTCATTTCGATCGATCAGTTTATACGGCAGCTATACGCTATAGTAGTCCGATCTGAACAATATTTTTAAAATTGTAGCGATGCCTGAGGTAATAAACTCTGCCAAATTTCGCGAAGATAATTTGTCAAATAAAAAAGTTTTCTATAAAAGGACTTGATTTCGATCGTTCAGTTTGTAGACAGCATAGTGGTTCGATATCGGAGATTTCGACAAATGAGCAGCTTCTTGGTAAAAAAAAAACCGATGAGAGCAAACTTTGTTCATTTATTCTCTATTTATAAATCCACTTATCGAACATTAACGCTTGCTCTGTCCTACTGGGTATATCGTGTATAACCTTTAGTGTACTCGTTTGAGCTCATCTTTGTTTGCTCAAGTGCTTTCCATTGTGTTATAAGCGAAAGTTCATATATGCTGTTCTACAAACACATGCTGGCTCTGCGTGCGAACTCGACAGCGTCCAGCTGTTCCGATTTTATATTGTGTTTATTTTGGTGTAAATCAAGTAATTGTGCGCTCAAATAATCCCAACATGAATGCATTACTTGAATATTCTACATTTATTTATTTGCCTTTATTGGTGGAGTCGAGTCAATTGGTGTGAATATAATGCTGTTATATATTCGAAAATGTTTTGTATAAAAATGCAGTTTGTAATTTCAAATCCTTGAACAAGATGTTCAGCTACTTTTTCTCCATATTAGTTTTTTTTCAATATTTTTTTTTTTATAAATATTCGAAAATTTAAAATTTCTCTCTCATTTGCTTGCAGCTCATAAAGTTTCTTAACAAGCTGCAATATCGTATGTTTGTACACTCAATTGTACTGACCTCTTTTATATTTCAATTTCACCACACAGTTATTGCGCACTCGAGCTATGCACAAATGCAGAACTGAGCGTGTTTGTAGTTGTAGTTGTGTGTTGCATTTGAAGCACTTATCCTATCTGGATATTCTTGTAGCTGCGGGCAGTTCGTTTGATTGTTGGAGCGTTGAATGCTTTTTAATTAACAGCAATCTTCTGTTGACCTCCACCCTTAAAGGGGGAAAATTATTCGTTTATTCGGACAGCAGCTGCTGCTGATTTACTCGCTTGCCTCTGACACAAAGTAGCACTAACACATAAATAATAATAAATACATATAGCTATTTAATAGTTTTATACAAAGTTTATATGTATTTCAAAGGTATTGTGATTACATACAATAATAATATTATAAGCATCTATTGAACGGTATTTTTAGGTTAAGAGACTTAGACCCAACATGGTGTTACCAGCCAAAACTGATTTAAGAGAGTGAGAGAGAGAAAGAAACATACATAGGTATATCCCTGATTATTACTCTAAAAGTAATAGAGAAAATGAGAGGGAGAAAGAGACATAGCTAGACATATATAGCTGATTATTAGTTATAGAATTCTTAGGTTTAGAATCCAAGTAGGTGTTGCTCGCTTAAAGATTATGGAAAGAGAAAGAGAGAGAGGGGCAGAGAGAGAGAGAGAGAGAGATATAACTGTTTATAAGCAGCTGTTAAGATTCTTTAGCTTATTACTAAGCCACTGGGTCGAATCTAAAACTTCAAAGCTGATTAAGTGGATAGAAGGTTACGTGATCTATTCACCTCATTAACCGAAAGGATGTTTTCCTATTACGCGCATTCGCTATGAGTGTCTTAATCGGGTTATTACCAGCAACTATAATGAAAATTTTTGTTATTGTCTTTGTTAGAAGAAAAGTTCTTATATTATCTTATCGAATTGCCTAACACACTAAGCGGTAACCTTGAGTAATCTGAGCAACCCATCCCTAACCCTTGCGTAAAATCATCCACCTGGTTAATACTACTAAATAGCAAATACCTTCCGTTCTTAGATACATTGATTTATCCTAGAGATGAAATGAGTCTATTAAAGAAGTTTAGAAGAGCTGCAAGCTAAACTAAATTTATATATTCTCTGACTAACCGACTCTGACAAAAAAAAGTTTGTAGTATTTAAAGTCCAATCTCAACTCTCTAAACCAATTTAGAAGACATGGGAAGTATGAGTTTGGAGGGCCACAACTTTTTACAACAAAAATATGACGAAAAAGAAATATAATCCCCAATTGTAAGCGATAAACGTGAACTCAAATACAGTTAGACTTCATATTTCTATACCCTGAACAGTAGATGGTATATTAAGTTTGCCGCGAAGTTTATAACACCCAGCAGGAAACTTCACAAAATTTGCCATGAATTATTCTTTAATGCAATGGTATAACTATTGAAGAAATTGTTCAGATCGAACCATTTAGCTGCCAAACAAACTGATCTATCGAACTCAAGTCCTAGCATGTGAAACGTTTTTATGTGACCAGATACTTTCCAGATATTTAGCATTAATTATTGTCTTAAGCAACGATACAATCTCGCAAGAAATTGTTCAGATCGAACTACTATAGCACTTAGCTGTCATTCACACTGCTCGATCAAAATCGAGTTAAATATATTTTGATATCCTTTTATGCTATAAAAAAAATGCCGCTGTAAGGGGTATTATAACTTTGCTGCAGCTAAAATCAATGGGTTTTCTTGTTTTTGTTCGAAATATGCCAACACAAATCTTTTGGGTAATAAACTTCATTATATTTAGCCAAAACGGATGAAAATACACATACAAAATGTTAATATATTATATATTTCTTTTTATCATTATAGTGACCCAAGAAATGTGTAACAATCAGGGCTAAATGAGATTTAAAGCCAGGGTATTACATATATCATAAATATTTACTTTACATGTAAAGAAGGCTATATATATTTCATATAATACAATGAATTTGTTATGAAAGCCAATAAAGGTTTACTTATCAAATACCATACACAAAGGCACAAATACACACACGCGTGTAAATATTTTGCTAGTAGTGGGCACACAGTAATATCTTGCAATATACATATATTTGCTAATATAAATAATATGCGTATTTGCAGGCTTATGCGGAATAAAAAATAAGTATAATATAATAAATAGAACACGATACCAAAACTCATAAAGGCAATTGTCCTACTCACCATAATGGGTAGCAGCAGTTCATGCGTCTCATTGCCGCGCCACAAGTGCGCATCGCTTGGCACGTTTTGTATTTCACATTCGAGTGAGTTGATTTTCTCCTGCAGGCGACTAAGTATGCGTGGTCGGACGATTGGCTTTGAGGAGGATTTCGAGAGATTTGCGGTGGTAGTGGTGGTGCTCGAGGTGGAGGTGGTGTTGGTGCGAGCGGCAGACATCATTGTGCTGCTTGTGCTGCGCGCTGTGGCTGTGGTATCATGCGGTTGGCTAATATGGGTCGTCTTTGTATGCTGCAACTGTGGATATGGATAGAGAAGCAACGTTGGAGTTGTGGCGTCAACTGCTGCTGCAGTTGTGGGCGAAAAATGTTTTTTAGAAGAAATCGTCGCAGCTGTTGTCATACCATTTTTGCTTGTTGTAGTTGAGGCAGTTGTTGCAATGAGCGTTAGTTGCGCGCGCTTAACATGCGCTATGTCAACGCCATCAAAATTAACCCGTTTCAGTGACGCGGCGGCAACGGGCTGGCTTGTCATTGCACTGTCGATGGCGCTGTCAATATTGCCAACAGCTGCATCCGTTGCTATGGGAGGCGTAACGGCTTGGCTTTTACGCGACAACGACATAATGTCAAAAGTTTTGGCCGTTGCAACTAAATCTAAATGACTTGCCGTAACTGTAACTGTGTCAGGCGTGTCGGCAGCTGTGTGTGGTGTGTGCAAATTGGCTTCACTGCTGTAATTTTGGCTATTTCCTGCTGCAATTACGCGCGTTGTTGTGGCTGTGGCTGCTGTTGGATTGAACTTGTTCGCACTGGTGACATTAACGCTTGTCGGTGGCAACAAAAGTGTCTTGAGCAGCAATTTAGCGCGTTGCAATTCTTTTTGGTATTTCTTAGTCGGTTTGTCGCCAACAGTGGGTTGGATATTTGTTGAGCTAATGGTGGTTGCAACAGTCAGCATTTGCGCGTTTTCCTTTACGTTTTGTGCATTTTCTGGCGTCACCAGCTGACTCAACTGCACTTCGCCTTTCTTTTCTGCGTTCGCTGCAACATTTATCGCCTTCACAACGCGTTGTACTTCGCTGCCGCCCCCATTCACCGCAACTTTGTTATCTGCGCGCAATTCAGTTACATTCTTGGTCACGCTGTCGCTATTAACCCGACGCTGCGAGTTCATGTGCACTTCACCCGTAATTGCTTTGCTTGTTTCTGCGTTTGGCGTATACTTTGAAGTTGCCAACTTTGCACTTTGGCGTAACGCAAATCGACTTGCCGCACTTTCGACGGTATTTTTGGTTGTTGTTGCTGTTGCCGCTGCGGCTGCTGCCTGCTCTACCTTGGCTTTTGCCTTTAGCCGTTGCCGATTGTGTAGCATCATTTCATTGTAGAGTTCTTTGCTGTTGTAGAATTTTGTCGTCGAAAATTCCGGATGTGTGCCAAGCGCCGCTCTCAATGCGCCATTACCGCTCTCCGTGCCACCAACCGTCATTTCGCTGTGACTTTGCGTGCCGCCACCATCCGTGTTGAACTTTGTATTGGCGAAATCGACATGTGGCATGCCGAGTGCATCGCTGACGCTGGCTGCACGATGCATGGGAAAGTCGAAACTTTTCTTGACGCGTCGCTCGATGAAGTCGTGTTGCGTTGTACTGCGTTGCATACCAGCGCCTTTATATTTAGCGTATTTATTGCCGACACTTTTGGTTGGTTGCACTTTGTGGTTGACACTAAAGCTCGCTTTGCCGCCAGTCAGTTGTCGTTCTTTACTTGTTGTTGCTCTTGTTGTCGCTGATTCGGTGGCCAACATTGTCGGCGTTGCCGCAAACTCATTCAAGCGGAACTTTTGCTCGATTTCCGTAATGACACCATCCTGTTCGGCCAGCAGTTTTCCGGTGAAATCACTGATGGTATCGGCCTGCTGCTGTCGGCGTTCTGCTTGTTGGCTAATAGTTGCCGCTACAACTCCATTACTCTGTGTCGTGGCTGTTGTTGTTATTGCCGCGCCTACTACTGGCCTACGATTGACGTTGTGCTGTGCGGCGGCCAAATTATTGATATTGTCGTAACGTTGTACAATGTTATCCAGCGCATTTACTTCATTTGGCAATAAATTCTGTTGGTGTCCTATTTCCTTGACGTCGTCGGCACGTTCGTACAACCCGTCAGCTGGTTGCAACGGCTGATCCTCGCCGCTATCCACCGGCTTATAGATGGTACGCGCTTTTAACAACTTCGCATTGGAGTCACGTATAATTGGATTGAAATCTTCCATTTTCATGGGATATAGATCAACTATGTTGAGTGCGGGCGGCGTGGGCTGTGGCGTGGATCGCGACACAATTACAGTGCTTGTGTGCTTTGTGTTTTCGACATGGTCATTCTGTTTTTCGTTGTTGTTGTGGTTGTTGTTTTTCATATGCTGGCTATTCATGTTATCCAACTCGCTTGCGGTGTGTGCTTTGTGTTGCTGCACCTGTCGGTTTTCTATATCTTGGTGCGCTGGCAACTTGCGGCGTAATTGGTTTGGTTGCTGTTGTGGCTGTTGTTGCTTGAGCTCTTGTTCTCCTGGCTGTTGTTGTGCTTTTTGTTTAACTGGTTTTATCAGTGCAGTTTGTGTAGTGTGCTGTGCATGTTGGCCTAGTTGTTCAGTGACTGCATGTTGCTTTTGTAGTTTATGTAGCGCAGATATTGTTGTCAACTCGCCTGCAGTTCGTGCTTTGTTGTATTCCTCCTCTTCTGCGCTCACTTGTATTTCTAGTAGTGCGCTTGGTTTGTTGGCACCCGCTGCAGTTGTATTGCCCGTCATTGGTGCGTCAGCTTTTGACTGCTGCATCTGCTGCTCCTCCGCATCACTGCCATTGTATTCGTCTGTTACAATTTCAGCCAATTTAATGCGGTATAGCCCATCTTTGAGTCGCAGCTCAATATTGATGCCATCCTTTGCTGGTTGTGCTGTTGCTGTGTCATCTTTTACTGAATCTTTTACTGGTTCTACCGTTGCCGCTTCGGTTGCCGTTGACTTTGTGACTGTCTCCGCGCTGTCGGTATATTTCGCTCTTAAAGTGTTAGTATCGACTGCCCCTGTCATCTGTTTGCTTGTAGTCACCTCCTCTCTTAACCACATTGCAGTTGCATCCTCTTGTGGCTTCTTCACTTGAACAGTTCCGCTATTTTCCTTCACAATTGGCTGTAAGTCACTAGTCGCTTCCATTTTGTTATCGGCCTCCCACTGCTTTGTCACTTTTCTAACACCGCGCTCAGCATTTGCAACGCTGTCGGCTGTTTCAATTTCCCCTACTTTGGAATCGTTGCGCTCACCAACCAGCTCATCTGCATACACATCCGCTTGCTTGTCGTTCTGGCGTGCTATACGCAACTCCTCTGCATTTTTAATGATTTGTGTTTTTGCTACATTTCCGTGCTCTTTGGGTTTTGCTGCACCGCCGCCATTACTCGCCGCACCATTGCCTGGCGGTAGTGTATCCGCACGTGATTTACTTTCGGCATCCACTGTTGGCGCTTCCCTAAATTTGCTTGCTGTACCGCCTGCTGATGCACTGCCACTACTCGTGGGTATGACTGGTGTTGCTACACCATGCTCGTATGCCGCAGCATTAATTTGGTTTGTTGTTGCTGTTGGCCCCTTTCTAATATCATTTTTTACAAAGCCATATACTTGCTGGTTTCCACCCGCTTCAGTAACCGCTGCTGCGGCCTTCTCTACTGCTACGTTCTCTACTGCGTACTGTTGTTGCAGCTGTGCTGGCTTTGCCTGCTCATTACTCATTCCCTCAGCTGGCTGTGCTGTTGCTGGTATTGCTGTTGCGGTATTCAAAACTTGCTCGTCCGCATCGTTTGCCGACGTTAGTGTTGCTGGCGCATTTGAGGATCCGAATGTTACAGTTGTTGTTGCTGCTGCTGCCGTTGCTGTTGCGGTTGTTGTTAGCGGCTGTGTGTGGGTCATCGCCAGTTTTTGTTGTCGCGTCGCTTTTGCATCCCCACCTGCCTGCATGCGTTCCATTGCCTGCTCGCCCACTATCACCGTCGCACCCACTATCGGTGCTTCCTCTGTCGTTGTCGCTGGCTGTAAACCTGACTCGGCGAAACCATTTGCATCGGCAAACGCCAACACTGTTGCAATTGAAAATGCTAAAATGTAGAACTTTTGCATTTTTGTAAACATTTCCGCTGAATTTTCGGCTGTGTATGTGTGTGTGGCTGACTTTTGCTATTTTAGCACTTCCTGTTTTTCTCACACTTCCTGTTATCGTCTATTTCCGCCGCTCTGATGCGGTAGGCGTACTCAAAACGCTGCACACCCGGTGCTCTGTGCACCACTCTGCTGGACTCACTGTTCTTTTACTCTTTAACTTTTATTAAACTTTTGGTTAAGTTTTTATTATGCTCTGCGTTACCCAATATTAGAACTTCCGTTGTTGCAATAGCTGCTCGTAACGTTGTTGTTGGTGCTTTTAGTTTAAAGTCTACATTTGCTAGCGGTACTTGTGGTGTTACTGGTGACATTGTTTTCTGTTGCTCGATTTTGCAACTAAATGGAAACTGCATCGTTTGAAAGGAAAAAGGAAAAGAGAAAATAAATTATTACCATGAAATGAAGTATAGCTTCTTTAAAGGCAAACATATTTGTATGGTAGTTTTGTTGCAACAATGCCAATTAAGTGGTATGCATGCAAGCGTTTTTGTGTTTGCATTTGTATGAAAGTTCTTATATATTTGTTGCTTCCTGAAATTGTGACTTTAATTGCTTCAACAAATTAACTGGAAACGCATTATAGTTACTTGCTCATGATGACGCATAATTGCAGAATATACATATATAAGAACGGTATACTCGTATGTATATATTTGCTTGTGTCACATTATCCTTTATGCGAAGCGCTATACTCAATTATTACTTTTTTAAGAAGAATTTTATTGAATGCGTGTTTTTACTATATGTACACATATATTTAGACTACTGGAGAAGCATTTGAAAATTATAAAAAAGAGTAAAATTTATAGTTTTCAGTGCGTTCTTCTTTTTGTATTTTCTGAGAAAATTTACTACAGTAATACTCTTCCTATAACACTCGTAGTTTTACCGAAAATCGCGATAAACCGTTTTTAACCTTAAAAATTCAACCATGCCCCTCTCCTTCCTTTTCCCGACCTCAGATTGCCCGTAAATTATTTTTGCTTTAATGTTTGTTATTTGTCACCCAAAAATAAACGTCAGAAATACAAACTACAAGTATGTATGTATATAATTGATCAGCGTGATGAGCTGAGTCGATTTAGTCATGTCCGTGTTTCTTTCGGTATTTATGCAAAGTAGCCCCTCAGTTTTTGAGATATCGACCAGAAATTTTGAACACATCCTTTTCTCACCAAGAAGCGGTTCATAAGTCGAAACTGCCGATATCGGATCACTATAGCATATAGCGAAACCTCGGATACATGAAGGCCATAAACAAAGATTCCTCGCATCTTAGGAACTATATCTCCGGAGGCAGCTATAAATTATAAAAAGTTAGGGACTTTTTATATCTCGGAACCAGCCTAAACTCCACCAACAATCTAAGCGTGGAAATCAAGCGCAGAATAACTCTTGCCAACGGTATGCAATTGAAAAGCAGATTCCTCCCTCGAGGAATAAAAATTAGAAAAATAAAAATTATACAAGAAATCAACCTATTTGTGAAAAATCGAAATTTTGACTAATCCTTCGATAATTGCCTGTATCCATCTATCGTAATAAGAATTGCTTTCGATTTTTAGTTTTGAGATAATTTGAGAGAAAAAACTCTCTCATCGCCAGACAGCTTTTTTCGGACGTGCTCCTGGAAAGCGTCAACGGGATCAAAGGAATCCATAATTTAAAAAAATATATAACAAACAAAAAATCAAGTTTTGTTTTTATCTGCAAATGGTTATAAGCTCTTCTGTCAGTAGGCACACCGTGCGGCTTATATTTGATTTTCGTTTGTTTAATTTGGTTTTTTGGTAATTTTCCTTACTTTTCAAACATCTCCGCCGGTACCCCTTCATATGTATGCTTTCGTTATCAAATTTTACTTCGTGCACATCAGTGAGAGTTGAAAATCTCTAAACTAAACTTAAAAAAATTAAACAATTCTGTAGTTCTAATTGATCATGCCGTTATCATTCTTTACGCAGCGAATTCTGCTTTCAAACCTGGCTCAAACACTTTTCAGAGTTGCTGCTTCATTTCCAAAATACAAACTAGAAGTCACCACTCAAGATTTTTCTCTCTTACTGGAAAAGCTTACAATTTCATAACCAGTCGCGAAGTAGACACAAAGATACTCTTGCGCTTTATAAATTCTGGTTTTCTCTTTCGCTGTTAAATCCATTTCATGTTAACAATCATTAAGTCCCTCATTATATTGAATTATAACCAATTAATGCGCTAGAAACTTTATCCTAAATCTAGTATATGTATGTTTGTATACGCAAATTATTGTAACAAACTCTCAACTATAACAATTTATTAGCCTTCCTTTACTTTCCTCGTTTCTCATGCATATTCGCTGCCATTTAAGCTTACTCACGCTTCCAAACTATTAAACATGCAAGCATTCTTAATTGAGATATTTTAAATACGTTAGCATGTATGTATGTATTTGCAAGTGTTGGGAAGAACATCAATATAAGCAAATATTGACGTTTCGACATATATCTAGATGTATGTATCAGTGCATAATGTGCGGTATGTGTGTATATCAGCCGTTTAGATTGTCTTAAGTTGACGTCTGCCTTAAAAAAAACTAAGTGAGATAGTATTTTTGTTGTCAGGCAGAAGTTTGTGTAGCAAAATATACTTGTAAAGCCATTAGGGTGGTGCCACAAAGTCTAATAATTTTTTTTGTGTTAATTTTTGTCTTGTTGAAGGCATTTATATCTTCAAATGGCTTAAAGAGGTGGAGCGTAAGGATTTCTCTGTGAAGGAATCATATTAGAGGATGAAAGCTGAGTTCAGAAGCTTGATACTGTCTGCGGCAGGTAAAAAATTCGGTAAGCATATATCATACTAGTTATATCCTGAACAGGCTATATTAAGTTTCCCACGCAGTTTTTACCACCCAGAAGTAAATGTCGGAAAACCTATAAAATATATATATAATATATAAATGATTAGCATGATCAGCTGAGTCAGTTTAAAAAATCCAGTACTACTTTTGCTCAATGTTTATTTTATTTTTCTAGTAAAACAAACGTTTTATTATTTCTAGTGTTTTTCTAAAACCCATAAAATTACTTGGTGTTAAATTAAATTCTTTTCAATAGTCAAAGATCGGCCATAAGTTTCACTTAAATTACTACTTTTTAACCGAAAAGGCTACATAATTCATTTGGCTGTCAGTTTGCTACATAAGCAACATTAGTAAATGACTTTCTACCATAATCCTTGCCTTTATTTTCCACCCTAAAGCGAGTCTATTTCTATGCTTTGCATTTGCACTATCTTATATCTCATTATTTTCAACATCATTCAATATCATTCCGCCTTAATTGATTTTACTCAATACATCTTAGGCACCACAAATCCTCGAGCTAAGATAAATGTGCATGTAAGCATGTTGGCATATGCGTGCGTGCGTGTGTGCGTATGTTGTAACGTATTAATACCGTCACGACATGAGACAAGCATTTGCCGCATCATTCAGACTTAATCCTGGTACTTTTGGGTAGTTTGTCACAGGCGAACACAAGCGATCAACAGCAAATATTGCCAGTTACACATGTTAGTATGTATGTTAGTGTGTATGTATATAGCAAACCATTGTATGCGTGTGTGTGCAGCTATTGCCTTTTGCTATACGCACCTAAACTCACCAACGACATACTGAAAATGCAGGCAAAATCATACAACGACGCCCAACTGCCTAAGTAAAACATTGTTGCTTAGTCGGCTTTGTCTATCGACTACTGCTATACATATATGTACATACAAACACATATCTATGCGTTTATACATTCATGTATATACATATATTCCCTATAGTGCTTTTATGGCTATGTCTTCGTCTTAAGATAAATCGTTGCACGCTTGAATGGCTTCAATAAATGTGTTTGTTTATGCTTCCCATCTGCTCAGCGTATATGTGTGTGTGTGTATATTCTATTTATATGCAATATTCAATGCATTTGCTGGCAAATTTGTAAATCTCAATATAGAGCTACTTAAATACCGGTGTGTGTATGTGTGTGTATAAGTTCGAATATGTGTCTTCTTGCCTCAAAGTGAAAAGTTACGTATACGCCTAGCTGCTTATTGCCTGCTACCATGTAGTGGCTGTGCCTCAACGCTATTAATGACAATGTAATCGATATGTGCAATGGTTCTTGCACACAATATAACCCAGTTCAGTGATAAAGCATGAACTCAGCTCTCAGCTGTTGGATATCCACTTCAACACTAATGCATTTGCAACGGTGTCGTTATGGCGGCCATATGTACGTGGCGTGTTAACATTTACCTTAATTGCTGTTGATATGGTGGAGCGCAAAGTTGTATACTTCAGACACGTGCACATCTACGCCAGATCTATTAAAATATATCGCGATAATATTGTGGAAAAGTAAAAAAAGAAAAGTCTTTTTATTTTGCTTTAATGCAATCAATTACTATTCGAATGGTGTGAAGAAAATGGAGAAAGAACCCTGCTTGTTAGGCGTTAATAGTTTAATCGCAAACTTTGCAATTTTTTACATATGTATTACATCAGATCTACTGAAAAAATCCATTATGTTAGAATGATCCCACTCAAGTCAAATGATCCCACTCAAGTCAAATATGCACCGTTTTGTTCGATAACTTGTTGCAGCTTTTAAGGCAATTTCATAATGTCAAAACAACAACATTCCTCTTATATTGGCACATATTAGTCGCTTCTGGCCGATTGCTGCCTTCAGACGATCCAATTGTTGAGAGTACAGGTTCGAATTCTGAGGTTTGCTGTAGAAGAGTAGCTCTTAGAGAAACATTTACCAAAATCCCACCAAACAAATAGCAGAACTTTCTTGTATTCGGCTCACCCCGAATCGACCACCAACCATATAACGAGTTTCTGTTTCAAGCCTTTTTTAAAATTGTTTCAAACGTCATTTCTTTGTGCAATGTTTAGCTCTTGGGCTTTCCCTTATTTTACCGATATCTTCGGTAATTGGATGCATCTTTGAAATCAAAATTACCGGAATGGAATCGCTGATATTTAGTGGCTGTCTTTCATTTCGCCGAAGAAAACTTTGAAAATATGTTGGTGTCAATCTCTGACCTGTACTCAAGCCAAACTGAGAAAAGCATTCTTAAAACTGTTCGAAATGGCGTTTTTGAAAAATTAGCCAAGGGCGTCTAAATGTGGTAACCAAGTGGGCAGACAGAAATGAATTAGCAATTAATCCAAACAAAACTGAACTAATTTTATTTACTATGAGATAAATATCTCTGGTGTTACTCTCCCCTAGTTAGGAGGCCCTGAGCTTCAACCAGAGGGCAAGGTGAAGTACTTGGGGCTTATTCTGGATAGGAAATTTTT